CTCGGAGCGAGGGAAATATGATAGTTTTACAACAAAACAAATCTAGTTTTAACCCCATTTGCATGCAAAAAACTACGTGTTGAAACCTTATATTACACGTAAACGCCATGCAAAGGTCGAAATCCACTATATAACCCTTGATCCGCCACCCCATTTCTCACCATCAAAGCTAATCAATACCCCTGAAATCAACAACCATTACCATGACAAAGCTCGCTCTCCTCGTAGCAACCTTGGCTCTGGCTTTATTCATGGTCAATGCTTCCATATACCGCCAGCAACACTCTTGTCAACAGCAGATAAGGGAGGAAGACAACCTGAGGTACTGTCAGAGATACATAGAAGAGGAGTCGAGCAACCGGTACAACAGGGCGGACCGACACTTGGACTCTTGCTGCCAGCAGCTGGAGAACCTCCAGGGGGATTGCCGCTGCGATGGCCTGGAACAGGCGGTGAGGCAGCAACTCAAGGAAGGAGAATGGGAGAGAGAAGATGTTCATGAGCTGTACAAGGTGGCCGAGAAGATTTTGCAGAGGTGTGATAACGTGGAGGAGCCTAGGAGGTGTGATTTGCCTTCTCGAAGGTGGTTTTAGAGATAAAAGGTCTACAAGACCCTAAAAAAATGCTAGCACAATAAACTGTAAGGCATGCATATATAAATTGCGTGCTTTTCATCAGTAGTGGTGGTGGTTTTGGGACTAGTTTGTAGTATATTACATAAATAAAGCACATTATCATGTGCACTGTGCTTGCTTAAATCCAAAGTGCAGCTCTGACTTTCATTGGCTGATAAGAACATCATCAGCATTAGCTTATATTGAGTTGAAAATTAAAGATATAATAATAAGTCGAATCGAATCCAAATATTAGAGAATTGGATGAAAACAAACAAAGTCGGAAAATCTAAAATATCGAATAAAACCAGAAAAACTCTATTTTTTTTATCTTTTTTATTCAAAGAGACGTAAGATCTTTCTAACAAAAGAGAATAAAACTTAGGCTTTTTAATATGTATTTCTTATCGCTTTCAGTTGAAGGAAAAAAATAGGGGGTATGGAGATGAATCTTAAATATTTAGAGAATAAAATTTAGGGAATTATCTTAAATATTTAAATCCTAATCAAATATAAAATTTAAATCCAAAATCTATCATAAACTGAATTATATAATCAAGAATATAAACTAAATTATTTGATAGGTTGAAATCTTTGAATCTTCATTTTGAGACATTCTAAAAATATATGTTTTTTTGTTATCGTAAAAACTCTCTGATCCTATCAAAGTAATACAAATTAATCTATTTATTGGTGTATAAAATGAATATTAAGTCAATCTATTAAGTATTTATAATTATGTCATTCATCAAATTATAAATATAACTTATGATATCTATAATTTAATTTCATCACACTTTAATACTTACGACACTTAAAACATAATTGGTTACTTAATTTTATGTCATACTTTATAATAATATTATATATATATATATATGCGCGCGCACACAATTATAGATTTTAATATTGATTTTAATCAATATTACGCTAAAATGTTTACTTGGATATAAACTTAATAAAATATGATTTTTTGTTATGTATCTTTATGCATTTCTAAATTGATGTTAAATTATTATGTTATTTATGTGTATTTATTATATATTGTGTTCCCGACTACTTCATTGAGCATTCGAAACTTATTACGTTCGAGTTGTATTGTTATGTCACAACTCCCAAGTCTATCTTAACCATTTTGAATGTAGATGTTTTTTTTAAACTCATAATTAGTGGTGGCATGTTTAAAAATGAGTTTGTGTTTTGGTTAACAATGTGTTGTAATGTTTATATCTTATTTTGATACATTAGTTAGCTATGTAAAATAATGAATGCTCACATATACTTTAAAGCTCTAAAAGACTCTTAATTGTTGTTAATCTTTATCTAGTATATTTCTTGTTGATGTTGAGTTACTTCGAGACTTTATTTATATCTTTTTCATGAATTCTAACTATTATGAGCCGTTAGATATACAAAATAATTATTGTCTATAATAAATTTTAACATTTGTAACATGAAGAGATTGGACCAATGGTATAACGATTGGACTTGTCACCCGATATGAAACATAATCATAGTGTGTTTCATGTGTCAATATTAAAGAGATATCACTTAGATCCTTCACACATCATTCTAATAGTACCAATCTAGGTGAGTCTCGATTTGTCATATAAGGAAAAGCGAATGAGAACTCACTTGATGAGTTAAAGGAGCTCAGGAATAAGAGAAATGCATTAGTAAAGTTTTTTTTTTGTTTTGTTTTGGATGAAACAATTTGTGGAGGAAGCTACTTGGGAGTTAGAAGAGTTTATACGACTTTAATATCCACATTTGTTCGAACTGGATAAATTCAGAGGGTGAAATTTTTATTAGAAGATGAGAATTGTGATGATCAACTCTTTGAGTCAACATATGATAGTTGAATTGAGATAGGCCAACTTAGGAGCATTATTGAACCTTTAAGGCATGCTGGGTCTCATTTGTGCGAGTATTGAGTCATATGGACCTACGAAAATAGAGGATTTTTAAGGAGGCTAAAGGTTGAGGAACTAATTGAGTAACTAATCCATTAAGAAAAATTAAGATGATTTTTCCCTTGATTGTGTGAGGCCAACCGTGGGTTATATGGGAGGGAAAAGAAAGCTTTTCACCACCCTTCCTTTTTCACCTACCCTTCATTTTTCACCTATTCCCTTTGTCTTCTTCTCTTCTTTTCCCTTTTTACCGAAGGCTTTATATTAACATTATTAGTGAAAATCTCAGCTCAATCAAGATAAAAAGTATTTCAACAAATTCATAGGCTTCAAAATAAGATCAATATTATTCACTTTCTAAGACATGAGCAAGAGGAGAGTTTTACGAGGATTTTAGCTTTTGGGATAGTTAAGAGAGATTTAGAACATGTTATTATTTTTAAATTCTTCATTAATAATTATCTAATCATTTTGAATAATTAAAAACCTCTTTGCATGTTAGAGAAAGAGAACTCTGAAGAGCTAGAGACAAGAGGAAAGTTAGAGAAAGTTTATTAATGGACTTGCATTGATGTTTTTGAACAAATAGTGTATTACTAATATTTTGTTATATCATAATACTCATAAATGCGATTTCTTGTGTGTAGTTTATCACATATTGAACATGATTGAGTGGGGTGTATGATTAATGGCGTAGATGATGAATTAGTTTTTAAACACATATTCTATATGAAAAAGAGATTGTTCCTTCAACTATGTACCAGATACCACTATGAATGATCACATTACTAGCTTTAATCAGCTAGTGACTAATCTGATGAATATGGACGTGACTTTTGAAGACGAAGATTTGACTCTGATGTTGATGGGATCACTTCCTGATGAGTTTGAGTATCTTGAAACTACTCTACTTCATGGGAAAGTTGATGTGTCTCTCAGTGAAGTAACTGTTGCCTTGTATAGTTATAAATTGAGAAAGAAAGACAAACAAGAAAACACAAGTGTCGAAGCACAAGCTCTTGTTGTTAGAGGTCGTTCGAAGAGTCAGAATAAAGGAAGGAGAGGGAGATCGAAGTCAAAGTCCAGATTGAGCAAAGATGAATGTGCCTTTTGTCGAGAAAAAGGGCACTGGAAGAAAGAATGTCTCAGGATAAAGAAGATTATTTTCAAGTATTAATTCTAAAATTAATAATTTTATAAAACTTGTGACATCACATGTTTAACAACATATTATTTTGAATGTTATTTAGTATTAATCCTTCATCACTCATAATCATAAATTCAAATTTATTTTTATTTCCGTAGGCTAAAATTATTGTTTTAACAAGTTTCATTTGACAATAAAATTATATTAAAATGATAAAATATTTTTAAGTGATCCAAACATATCTTAATAAAAAAAAGATCGATAACGATTTTTTTTTATTTTCTTCAAAATTGATCGAAAGATGTTAAGATAGATTGAACCATATGTATTTTAATTTTCAATCCTATCGAAATAGTTAATTAAGATGGTCGGATACATTTGAAACTCCACAGATAAAATGAATACTGAATTCTTTAATATCAATGCCATTGGCAAAACCACGCATGCTCGTTATAATATTCAGAAAAAGTTAATTATAAATAGACGCCTTTGGTGGAATTTGCTTAATTTGCCTTTGAAATTTTTTATAAGAATGTTCAAACGATGGCTTTAAAATATAAATTTCTAGCACGACTACGGAATTTACAATTCAAAGAGTCGTTGGAATGGTTAATTTTGAAAGATATTTTCCTTGCTTTTACTTTTCTTCCCACGAATTTGGGTGGAAATTCGTCACTACGTTCGACTAAATTGTAATTTCTTACGATTCAAAAGGACTCTTCAACACTCTTAGTCTAGGGGAATTTCTCCATATAATCTTATTGTCTTATTTTTAAATCTTATGATGGACCCGAATCTACAACGCACTCAATTTTAACAACAAAATAATTCGTGTCAATTTAAATGATTTTGTATAATTATATAATATATATATATTCTTCATTTTTTTTCATATGTGATATACTTATGTCGTACAAAGTCGAGTAAGTCAACTCAAACTTGAAATCAATCCTCTAATTAAACATATGTTTTTCTCTCTATTCTCCCACAAAAGCTTGTCCCGAAGGATAAGAGCCCGATCAGCGAGAAAAGGACCAAAATAATACATGCATAAAAGCCTAAGGATGAATAGATGGTATTAACTTTGTAACAAATTTCTAAACATTGTCAGATAATATTTTACAGGCATCAACTTTGAAGATAAAAGAAACAAACAAAAGAATAATCAATGTAACACATTTTAATATATTACATTTCAATGGACCCTACATGTTTTATTCTATAATTCTCTTGACTTTAAGTTGTCGTTTTAGACTTAAAAGAAGCAACATCTTTAACTATAAATACATGCCACAATTGCACTATGAACCTCACACAAAACCTGTGCTAACTTTCCAGAGTGAGGGGAAAAAAAACAAAGCGAATTAACCTTTGAATCAGTTTTAGAAATGGCTTCACAGGTTTCTGAAATTCCTTCTTCATCACCACTTACTTCCATTCCTTCCGACAAGGATGAAATCCGCCCCAAGGCCGACTTTCAGCCTAGCATTTGGGGTGACCTCTTCCTCAATTGTCCTGATCAGGTATATTTGTAAAAATAGACGGTTCAGATTAATTTTTTATTTATTTTTTGATAAATATCTTTTCATTTTAACACGAATAAATTTTTCATTGTTGTGAGCAGGAAACTGATGTTGAAACTAAACATCGACACGAAGAACTTAAAGAAGTAGTGAGCAAGATGATTGTGGCACCGATGGCTAATTCAAGTCAGAAGTTGACCTTCATTGATGCAGTCCAAAGATTGGGTGTGAGTTACCATTTCACGAAGGAGATTGAAGATGAACTAGAGAAGATCTTTCGTGACAAGAACGTCAACAACGATCTCTACACCACATCTCTTCGATTTCGATTACTTCGAGAGCACGGATTCAAAGTTTCATGCGGTAATTAATGGATCAACAACTTTAGTTTGTAGATATAGTATGTAATGTTTGATAGCGGTATTCAATTTGGGGTGATTTGATTGCAGATGTATTCAACAAGTTCAAAGATGAGCAAGGGAATTTTGAATCGTTCGTGATGAACGATATTCGAGGACTGCTCGAACTCTACGAAGCTTCATATTTGAGGGTTCATGGGGAAGATATATTGGATGATGCAATTTCTTTCGCCAGCAACCATTTAGGCCTTGCCGTCATGGCATTAGACTATCCTCTGTCAGAACAGGTTTCTCATGCTTTAAAACAATCCATCCGAAGAGGCTTGCCAAGGGTTGAGGCGAGGCACTATCTTTCAATATACCAAGATATTGAATCTCATAACAAGGACTTGTTGGAGTTTGCAAAGATTGATTTCAACATGTTACAACTTTTGCATAGGAAAGAGCTAAGTGAGATTTGTAGGTAAGTTTTTTTAATCTATTTTCACCCATTTTTTCCCTTTTCCCCCCAATTTGTAGGTCAGTTTTTTACAAGGTGAAATTGTTTTAGGTGGTGGAAGGATTTGGACTTTCAACGACAGCTACCATATGCAAGAGATAGAGTGGTTGAAGGCTATTTTTGGATTATGGGAGTCTACTTTGAACCCCAATACTCACTTGGTAGAAAAATGCTGACAAAAGTCATAGCAATGGCATCTATTGTGGATGATACGTATGACTCATATGCTACATATGATGAGCTAGTTCCCTATACAAATGCAATTGAGAGGTTCAATTTCTTTAGTTCTATATTAAATTCCACTTACGTAAATATTATGTGAAATGATGGAACATAACCTTGAAATTGGATTTCAGGTGGGATATCAAATGCATAGATCAACTCCCAGAATACATGAAAGTAAGTTACAAGGCACTCTTAGATGTTTATGAAGAAATGGAACAACTGATGGCTGAACATGGAAGACAATACCGTGTCGAATATGCAAGAAACGCAGTATGTATATATATTGTCAAACATTTATTTTATACTACAAGTGAACTTTCAGTGACAATTTTGCTGCCCCAGATGATACGACTTGCTCAATCTTACCTTGTGGAGGCCAGATGGACTCTTCAAAACTACAAACCATCATTCGAGGAGTTTAAGGCCAATGCATTGCCAACCTGTGGTTATGCCATGCTTGCTATTACAGCTTTTGTTGGAATGGGAGATATCGTCACCACAGAGACCTTCCAATGGGCAGCCAATGACCCTAAGATCATCCAAGCCTCCACAATTATTTGCAGGTTCATGGATGATGTTGCTGAACACAAGGTCGGTACAAATATTTTTGATATGTAGTGACGGATATTAGGCCATATTAGTGACGGATTAATTTTTGTTTTGTTCGAGTGCAGTTCAAGCACAGGAGAGAAGACGATTGCTCGGCGATCGAGTGTTACATGGAAGAATACGGTGTGACAGCACAAGAGGCATATGATGTATTTAACAAGCATGTGGAGAATTCATGGAAGGATGTGAATCAAGAGTTTATTAAGCCGACGGAGATGCCGACGGAGGTTTTGAATCGTAGTTTAAACCTTGCAAGGGTGATGGATGTGCTTTACAGGGAAGGAGATGGCTATACATTTGTTGGCAAAGCTGCCAAGGGTGGAATTACTTCATTGCTCATTGAACCAATCCCATTTTAAATCAATAATTTTCCCCTTTAAGTGGGTTCCTTGTGGAATAATTATTAAGTTTTTATTAATAATGTTTTATAATATATATATATATATATATATATATATGTGTGTGTGTGTGTGTGTGTTAGAGTTTATCCTCTAACAATATCTGCATAGTATTGTACACAAATATAAAAGAAAGTCCAAATCGGCTTTATTTGTACTTTTCCTTGTGTTAGCCCAATAAGGAAAGTATTTGCAACTTTTTTCATTGTGAAAATTGCTCTTTTCTACATCTCATTTTATTTATGTGTGTATTTATTGTATGGAAGAGTCTATAGGAACACAAATACTTTCTTTGTGCCCATCAATAACATTTTGACACGTGTTGTTAAGGTAGAACTCATTCAATCTTGTTAAAATTTATTATTTTTCTATTTTATTTTATCTTTCAAAATTTCTCTACAGTCTCGTCGTCCATGTTAGCGAAACAAAATATAAACAATGGGTTTTTAAGATTGTTTTCGTGTTGTGAACAGGGAGTTTCCTTGTGGCTCCTGTTAGCTTTTGTTTTGTCTTGTATTAGGGTTATTTTGATTAGTTTTTTTATGTTTATAGTGTGTTGTTAGCTATTTTTTTGGTAGCATTCATTCAGGTTTCGTTTTGTTTGGATGAGAGGTTATTATGTTAAACTGATTCAGTTGAACTGAATATAGTTTCGAGCACTCTTTTTTTCTTTCGCTTTCCGTCGACTCAATTTATTTATTTCGATTAAATTAAAAGAGATTTTAATGAGACTTATGTTTTATTTTAAAAAGATAAATTTTAAATAAACTAATCATATCCTAATAAAGATTAACGATGATTCTCTCAAATCACATATTAATGTTCATTCGAAACGGAAAAATTAAATAGGATTAACACCCATTTTCAAAAGACGTTTTGACAATAATTCAAAGATGGTAGTATAATAAAATGATATTTTAATCCAAATAGGCTGTCGTCATACTTTTCTTATATTAAAGGGTAAATTACATATTTAGTCATTTGATTATCATTTTGGTTTTGTTTTGTTCATTCAATTATTACTTTTTTTTTTAAAATCATACCCAACGTTACATTTTGGTTCCGATTTAGTCACCCGCCATTAAAAATAAACATAATTGTTGACGTGGAATTTTTTATTTTTTCAATGATGACATGCATTACCTTATTTTAGGGGTATGCAAAAATATTCGATCTGAATACCTAACATTCCGTTTTGATCACCCATCATTAAAAAATTAATGATGATGCTGACATTAGATATGATTTTTTTTGGTGAAATAAGGACATAAAACATTCTAGCTATTAACTCCTAAACATTCTAGCTATTAACTCCTAAATATTCTAGCTATTAACAGCCACCGAGGATGTTGAGAAACTTTGACCCCCAAAATCATCACTGTGGGCTATCTTCGACATAAAATCAACCACTCTATTATTTGTTCGATCAACCAAAGAAAACGAGACTAGCCATTTTCTGTTTAGCAGCTCCTGGATGTGTTGTAAAATGGTTGGTGAAACTGGTTTCGGCACAACTTGGTTTAATTCTAGAAGACTTCTCTATTATCGACTTCGAGTATAACGCGACGCGCTCCCATATTCCAGGCATGTTTTAAACCATCCAAGACCCCCCATAATTCCACTACAAATATTGAACAGATTCCGACAACTCTAGTGAAGCCTGAAATCCATTCTCCGAAGTTGTTCCGAATTGTTCCCCCCACATGTCGCATAACCTTGGATGTTTCGTGCTCCATCTGTGTTTATCTTCAGCCATTCTTCCGGAAGGGCCTCCCATTTAGAGTATCCGGTCTCCTCAACATCCTAGTATTGTTTGCATTTGCTCCAGCTGACATAGCTTTGCCACTCTCGGTTTGGAGTCTCTTACTTTGTTCAAGGATAGAAGTAGATCCCAGTTTCTCAACATCGAATATACATTGGTTTCGATGGTTCCATATGTTCCAAAGAACTACTCCAAACATCAGGTCCCATTCTTGATCTTCAATCGCAAAGTATCCATGTTTTGTGAGATTAACCAGTGACCATGTTCTTATATTCATTGTTAAGAACTCAGACATCTTGTCGGGACGATTCAATCTCTTCCATGTCTCCATCGTTTTCAGACATAGACGAAAGAGATGGTCGACGATTTCATCGTTTGGGTCACATACACCGCATTTTTAGTTATTCGTATGTCGCCTCACACGTTCACAATTAGTGAGGAGTCTCTCACCAGCCAATAGCCATAGAAATACTTCTACCCTCGGTACACCTCGGAATTTAGCAATGCTGCTCCACGGCTGTACCTGTTTCACCTCCAGTTTTAATCTCATAGGCGGATTTGACTGTAAATAATCGGTTAGGGGTCCATTTCCACCCTGGATAATCTATGGCTTGAACATGTACTGGAGTCATCGTGGCTATCAATCGGTGCTTTATTTCCTGAGGGAGTATGTTATCAACCATAATCCATTTATGTTCTCCATGTTCATCAATCATTTATGAAACTGTTAGAGCCGGTAGAGCCTTAGCTACTGCTCGGTTTACCACATGATTCTTTAGTGGACCCACATCACTAAGACAAGGGTCTCTCCAAAAATCAATAGACGAGCCATCGCCTTCTGTCTAAACAAGGCTCGAACGAATGTCATTCCTCACTAGACTAACCCCTTTCCATAGCCTTGAGCAATTGCGTCTCGTAATGTTGTTCGGGACGCTTCCTTCCCATTTATATTTGGTGCGTAAAACTTGCGCCCATAATTGATTAGGCCTGGTTACAAGATTGAAGGCGATTTTCACAAGGAATGCATCATTTTGCTTCTCCAGATTTTTTACACCAAGGCCACCCTCCGAAATTGAACATACAGTCTTCCATGGAACCAAGCTTATCCCGTGTCGTATCTATGTTTTGACCCAAAGAAATCCCCTTATTATCCTTTCGATCTCGGCACAAGTACCTTTCGGAAGAGGCGTAGACGGCATGGCATAAAACGGAATGGTCAATAGTACGGATTTTACCAGTGTAATTTTACCGGCCAAGGATAAGTTCTTTGCCGTCCATCCAGTAAGTCGATCCCGAACTTTTTGAATCAAGTATTGATATGTGGCATTTGTAACGTGGCTATGTAATAGAGGTACTCCGAGATATTTCCCAAAGTCTCTTACCTCCTGAAATCCACAAAATATTGATCGTGGCTGGACATTGTTGTCCTATATTCTTGGAATGCAAAATGATTTGCAAGGTTAACTTTCTGAAAAGAAACAATGCCAAATGTATCCATAATTTTTTTTATTATCTCCACTTTGTTCGTCGATGCATCCGCAAATAGTATCATATCATCCGTAAAACAAAGATGCGAGATAGCTGGTCCTTTCCGGGCTAGTCTTACTGGTTTCCAAGCCTTAGCTGCCGCACTCCTCTGTATAGCTTGGCCAAGTCGTTCCATACACATAACAAATAGGTATGGGGATAATGGATCCCCTTGTCGGATTCCTCTCGTGCGCTTGAAGGGTGCATACTTTAGTGGATTGGCGAGGGTCGAACGGTACTGTTAATCTTTTTGTGCACATTTTATTGGATTTAATCACGTATTTACTCGTCCAACTATTACCAATTATAAATTTAATATTTTTATTGAAATATTTTTATTTCCAATTATAAGTTTAATATTTTTATTAAAATAATATATAACTTTACTAGTTAAGTTTTGGTCGTAATATTAATAAACTTTTTATTATTTTTATTATAAATTTAATATTATTTCATTTATTTAAATTATTTTATATTATTTTTATTATAAATCTAAAATTATTTCCTTTATTTTAATTGTTTTATATTATTTTTATTATAAATCTAATATTTTATTACAAGTAAAATAAGTAAATCAATCTGGTATTTCTTCGCGCCAAAGTGTGCACAGAAGGATCAACAGTATTCACCATATTGACAAATCAGCGAGTGAGAAGAAAACAGCGGCGCAGGCAAAGAGGATATCTGACACTGACAGAGGCGAAGGCAGCAATATCAGAATCATTTTGGCGAATGATACCATAACAGAAATCAAAGAAATAAGCTTTGTAAAGAAGAAATCGAAAGCACAAGAATTGTAAGTTGGAGATTTTGACTAAGAACCAAATTCATCGACTATTCAGAATAATACTTTTAATAACATCGCAGCCTTTAATGGGCCATCACATTACATATTTATAAGGCCCGAATATTGCTAACAAATTTAGCAACATACTGATAACCACCCTAACAACCTACCAGCTAGCTAAACTACACAGCCATAACATAGTTATAAACCCCGTTACGGTTGCTTCCGCAGAAAGAAATTTTTTAAAATTGAAGCTCTTGAAATCCTATCTTCGAAGCAAGTTGACTCAAGATAGATTGAACGGATTAGTAATTCTAAGCATCAAAAGTTAATTTTTACAAAGTTTCGATTATCGTAAAATAATAGAGGTTTTTGCTTAAAAAAATGCACGAAGACATTGTTTTAGGTGATATTTGTAGCCTTGTAGGTTTTGGTTTGTATTAATATTGATATTGTTTGACTATAATTTCTATACATTTTTGTTTTAAAAAAAATTATTTATGTTTTGTCTATTATACGACACAAGTATAGGGGCATAAAATTATTATCCCGCACAGGGCATTAAAACTCATTGGACCGACCCTGGTTATATGCTTCCCAGTGAGTAAATCATTTAAATAATTATGGTCCTCATGAAACTGATTCATCCTTCAAGTTCACATGATTTAATCGGACAAACTTCTAGGTAAAGGATCTCTGAGTAATATGAGGGTGGTAATAAGTGCATGTATAACCATCTAGCCTTGACACTCTCTCGACCATAATACCATGTATATGGGTTTTCAGCCAATGTGAGATCAACCAAGTTATTGTTGTTGATAAAATCCGCGAAATCTAACAAAATTGTATAATCGACAACAACCCCAAATTTCTCATCAATAGATTATACAGAAAGTATCTCCTATCTGATGGATTGTTGGGCGCATATACATTGATAAGACCACATTTGAATCTTAAATTGATAAGGCACTCGATTAATATGATAGCTCAATCGATCACAATCTTTCTCTCTAACGGAAGAAACTAGGATATTATAGTGAAATAAGACCATCAGAAGTACCAATGGAAGGAGAAAAAGTCATATTCCTATTTCTTCCTCCGCACAACCGCTTTAGGAGGAAAGGCTTATTGGTTTGAAGTTTTTATTCTTTGATGAACACAACTCTGGCTCTGCTTGATAAAATAACTTGATGAACGGCCCTTACCTTTTTCATTTTTCCCAAATCTCTCACATTCCAATACATGAAGCTAAAATTCATCATAATTAAATAGCATAAGAAAACTCAAAACTAGAAAATGAATCAACAACAACAACAAAACCCTATTCCCATATGTAATGGGGTAAGGGGGAGGTAGGGTAGTAGGCTGCCCCCAACGTCAGATTGAGAGCAACTTCCGTGGAAGACCTCCAACAGTCATAAAATTAAAAATAAAGATAAAATACAATGCATGTATAAATAAATAAATAAATAAATACATAGTTGAACATTCATCATAATGCAATCTTCATATGCGAATCTATAATGGGAAGTAATCCCTGCAAATAAATCCTGCGTAAAAATCTCTGCAATAGACAGAAACGTAAGACTCGAAAAAATTTAAAAAGAGGAAACATGAAGAGAAGGATACATAAAAGTCAACGATAGCAAGCTACGAGAAGGAATAAAGTTAAAAGGGTTAAAACCTAAACAAAGGCAACACTACTCCGCTATCCTAGTTCTAAGCCTTCATAAATTCCATTGACAGAAACGTATAAAAAGTAGAAGTCATGTAAATTACTACAAAGGCATTAAAAGAAGACAGAGATGATACACCCTATGGATGTGACCCGCTCTACTCGGCTACCCTGGTCTTAAGTCTCCATACTTTCCTATCAGAGGTCATGTCCTCGGTAAGGGTTAAATCCTTCAAATCAGATCTCAAGCAGTCTTCCCACTTCCGCCTTGGTCGTCCTCTCCTTCTGGCACCGTCGACTGTAATTGACTCTACCCTCCTGACCGCATCCGACGGTTGTCACCTAAGAACATGCCCAAACCACCATAGTCTTCCCTCCCTCAATTTTTCGGATACAAGCACCACCCTCAAGGACATCCTAATAGCAGAGTTTGGTTTCATGTCCCACAGAGTCCTACCACATGCCCATCAAAGCATTCTCATTTCTATGGCCTCCATCCTCCTTATGTGATCCTTCTTGGTTGTCTAACATTCTGATCCATACAGCAGCGCTGGTCTTATTGCCATTCTATAAAATTTTTCCTTAAGTTTTAAAGGCACCTTCTTGTCACACAAAACTCCAGTAGTAGCCCTCCACTTTAGCCATCCCGCCTTAATACGGTGTGTAACGTCATCATCCACACCCATATCTTTATGTATCATAGACCCTAGGTACTTGAAACAATCCTTTGATGGGAGAACGTGTCCTTCAATGCATACTTCTACATCTTCATCATTTTGGTTCCCACTGAAGTTTGAACATAAATACCATGCCTTTTCAATATTGATCATTAGACATTTTTCTTCCAAAGTAGTATTCCAGGTAGCCAGTCTACTATTCAGCTCAGTTTTTGTTTCAGCAACTAGGACAATGTCGTCAGGGAAAAGAATACACCATGGAACCCCATCTGGTGTCGCACAAAAGATGTCATCCAATATCAAGGCGAAGATGTAAGGGCTAAGAGCTGACCCCTGGTGGAGTCCGATTTCTACCGGGAAAGCCTCGGTGTCGCCAACTATAGTCCTGACGTATGTAGTAGATCTACAATACATATCACGAATCGCCCGGATATAAGTAGTTGGGATCCGTCTTGATTCTAAGGTCTTCCAGATCGTATCGCGGGGAACTCTATCATACGCTTTCTCAAGGTCAATGAACGCCATGTGAAGATTTCTATTTTCCCCCTATATTTCTCCATAAGTCGTCGAAGTAGATGAATTGCCTTCGTAGTAGACCTGCTTGACATAAAGCCAAATTGGTTTTCCAAAACCCTAGTAACCTGTCTCAACCTAGCCTCTATCACCCTTTCCCATAGCTTCATGGTATGGCTGAGTAGTTTAATACTTCTGTAGTTGCCACAACGTTGGGGATCTCCTTTATTCTTATAGATTGATATTACCGTAGACTCTCTCCACTCCTCTGGCATCTTGGCAGTCTCTAAAATAATATTAAATATGTTGGTCAACCACATAACTCCCTCTTCTCCTAGGACTAACCACACAGTGATAGGAATTTGATCTGGACCAACAACTTTGTCCCTCCCCATCTTTCTAAGAGCTATTTTGACTTCCTCAAACCCAATCCTACTTGTAGGGCAGTCATTGGTCGTAGTATGATGGTCGGCTGACCCATCAACGATACTATCTCTACAGGGAGAGGCACCGTCATTAAATAAGCCAAAGAAATAACTACCCCAAACCCTCTTAATATCATGATCTTTCACTAAAAGAACACCGTTGTTGTCCTAAATAAACCTAATGCTACCTAGATCCTTTTTCCTATTCTCCCTGGATTTTTCTAGCCTGAAGATGCCATTTTGTCCTTCCTTGTTGTCTAATCTCTTGTACATTTCCTCATATGCCTTATCTTTTGATTTAGCCACCGTTTTCTTGGCTTCCCGCTTTGTCTCCTTGTATCTTTTTTTATCTCTCGATCTTTCTTCGTCGTCATTGCATTGTAGATACTCCTTGAAGCAAGTTTGCTTTGTTTTCACCTTAATTTGGACTTCGTCATTCCACCACCATGATTCTTTATGCTCATTGACCTTCCCTGTCGACAATCCAAGAGTGTTTTTGGCCACCTCTCTAATGGAATTTTCTATATTTTTCCATAACATATCTGCATTATTTGAGTTTGTAGTTCCAAAACCTGTATTAGACAAAACCTTACTCCTAAAGTCATCAGTTGTCCCTCCATGTAAGTTCTTCCAAATGATCATAGGTTTACCAAGTTTAGCCCTCCTATGAGTGCTCCGCCCGTGACTTACGCGGAACACCAAAACCAACAATATGTGTTGTGATGCACATGTCTCTTCAGGGAACACCTTACAGTCAATGAATATAAAAAAATAATGCTCGTCTCCCTCATCTAACTCCGAAAAATGATTAACAATAACATATTTGGAGCATCAAAATTGAAACCCAAAGACACACCAATATGGAAGATAGCGACTACCTTCTTGGCATTTCTGAACATAATATTAGAGGATAAAGGGGATGGCTCAGATGATTGGGAATTAGACCCAAAAGGACATCGACATTTTTTCTTGCTTTTAGATTTCTTCGATGGAGCCCTTACCTTTTCTTTCCATTTGGAATAATTAATCAACCAATTGAACCTATCTATATAAGTTCTTAGGCCTTCGTTTTTTAGATCACTATGGATAATAGACCCTGCGTTTTTACCTTGAGAAGAGATTGCATCAACCACATCTTGCAATGGCTCAACATGAACATTAATCAACCCTGATCTAATTAGAATATCATGATCTGGATGGTTACACGTTCTTTGGCTGCACTCTGCTGGACTAGAGACTAGCGCAACCTTAGACTCAGAGAAATTATTCAAAGCTCCCTTATCAGAGTTAATGGGCACATAAAAAAAATCCAACATCACTAGACTCAGATATTGAAGGAGAATGGCAACACACCAAAAAAGGATATGGGGCAAGATTATCCACGTGACAATTTGTTTGATTGATTTCATCCTCAGGCTGGCCACCGCCACCAAGATTCTTGGATTCTGAGAATTCTACTTGCATATCATCATTACGAACATCACATTCTAAGGCTTTTTTATCACTCTTCTGTATCATCTCAAACGAAAATTCACCATCAATAAAAAGTCGATCACCATCATTTTCCTCCGTTCTAAGCTAAATCTTAAGAACACGCCTATTAATGGCAACTGATAAACTTTCTGGGATTATAAACACCTTTTGGATAGAGACTAGGATCTTAGCATAGTCAAATCTACTTATATTGAAAGTTTCCTCATCAATCTTCGACACAACACCCTATCTATTCCCCACACTCGTGAAGAATCTCTCGTGCCATACATGGATAGGCACGTCCTCAAGGACAACCCATACTTTGACACTCCTTTTAGCATCATAGCCTTCTAGAAGATCCGTCGAATCAACATTAACATATTAATGGAAAACACCTGGATTGAAAGTATAATTTATTTTCTATTATTATCCTTATACATCAACCAAAAAGAAGGAAAATCATATTCATTCATCCTTTATGGATTCCGGTAAATTCAAGTCTTAATATAAACTTTGGTAACCCATGCTTCTTTAGTCTTGATTGTGATGTTTGGAGCATCCGAGAAGTTGATAAAGGATTTTTAGAAGACGTTAAGTTTGTCGGATGTAAAATCTTGCCTCAAATGCTTGAAGAGAGTCTTGTTCTTCTTAAAAGTTTTTAGATGGAGTAACTACGTTTTGTAAATTGTATGAGTGTTGTCAATAGTTAAGAAATATTTTAGGTTTTGACCAGATACTGCCTTCAAATCACCACAAACTATTAAAGAAAGTTTATCAGTTGTAAAATTAGGCCTGAAGATGGCTCGAGTTTGGACTTTGATGGTGATGATCGAGGGCAAAATCAACCCAATACGGCATGTGGATTAATTATTTAGCTCAATACGACACAAAGTAATTTATTTAACGATCTACGACATTTGCTACAGTGACTTGGAACTCGTCACGTCGAGGTGATGAGTTCTAATAAAAATATTTTTAATTCAAACTTTTTATTTTGATGTGGTAAAATTTAATAAAAAATATATTTGATCAGAACTCGTCACCTCGACGTGACGAGTTTGAATAACAAAATATTATTTTGATAAACTCATCACCTTGACGAGTTTCTTGAACACTATAATAAATACCGAACTAATTTTTTTTGCCTGGTAACCGTATGAAAAAAAACCATGATCGAGAGAAAGTTGAGAATTGATAGTTGGGTCTGATTTGGACTTTTTTGGGAGTTGGTTTTAATGGATCATTTTGGACTTTATTTTAAGAGAGCTTTCGTTCTGGGCATGATGAATGAGCCCAAAACAAAATTAATCTTCACACCTCTATTATGCTCAAATTTGAGATTTAGTCCCTTTATATTTATTTAATATTATTAGATTTTTTTTATTTTTTATTATTGTTAGTTAATTCAAGTATTAAATAATAGTAACTGTTTTCGTTAAATTGATAATGTTATTTTTTTGTTGTAAAATTATAATTTTTTGAATAAAGGATATATATGTCAGCATGATGAGTTAGGATTGTAGTTTCTAAAAACGTCCACGTCAACATTTTAATTAAAATCATTTACCATGTTAATTATTTAAATTAACTAATAATATTATATAAATATAGAGAAAAATCCTATCTAATTAAGGTATAGGGAGTAAATCTAAAACATAAGCATAGTAAAGAGATCAAAACAATAATTTGACCCTAATATGATTATAGTCAACCCTAAAACTTCACCTTCTATAGTTCAGACAATATAATAAACACTTTCAAACTGGACTTTTCGTAAACTGATGCATATGAAAGGACACTCAAACCGCCAAATTAAGGGAGGGGTCAACCACAGATTTTCATCTTCAAAAGAATAAGACATGAACACATATATTAATGGGGATGGCCTACAATAATTAATATTTTCCAACCATAGTAGGTGATTGGTTGGTGGAACTATTTGAAAACTAAATTAAGTATTATTTGAAATAAATTACACTTAAACTTGTCAATTTAATTAAATTTAAAAATTCTATTTGATTAATTGAAATTTAAATATAATTGTGTTTGATTGACTATAAAATCTAATAATTTAAAATAATCCGAATGAAATGTTAAATTTAAAATGATTGATTCAAAAACTCATCTGACTCTGACTCAAATAATTTAAATTAAGATTTATTAAATCTGGTATAACCTAAACTTAAAATTATTCAAATGCACTAAAACATATTTATCCAAACTTAACATAAGTTGTAAATTTTGATGATAATTCGCATTATAAGTTTTACGAAATTGAAGTAGGCAAAAGCAGTGGGGGGGGGGGGTTCAAATCCTCACGAAAAAGAGAAAAAAAAAAGATCCCAAGAGGAGTGCAAAGCCAAAAACAATGAGAAAATAAAAGTGTAAAAATGCTTAATGTACCCTACAGGTAGGTGCTTGTTGGTCTATTTAATAACACAGAAACATTAACTATTTCTCCCCCACCCACTTTCCCTAGTAAAATAATGCTAAGTTTATGGTGAAATATAAAAAAAAGTCATTATGATACACAATTAGCTAAAATAATATTAAATTATTTTCAACATTTAATTAAATAAAACTTTATATTAACCAGTTGGTCTAGTGGGCATTAGTCCCTTAAGCAAAGTCAAGGGTTTGAATCTTGGTGATTGTGAATGGAGCAAATTGGTTGGGAGGGTCACCATTTCCTCTGCAATACTCAATATGAATTAATCGATCGTAGATCGGTAGTACACGATCCTAACTCATAACAGAACAGAGTTACTACAGGATTAATATTATGTACCGAGCATAAAAAAGGTTTACAGAACCATACAAGTGATCACGAAAACACAAGGGCGACTGAATTGAGAGGAGGTAGGTCAAGCAAACGTATGATAGAGTCACAAGTACCTTAAATAATCAACAGTATGAATCAGTTTGTCAGTCTATACTTTAATTGTGATTAAAATAAACTAGTTAAATAAATATGCATGATCAGGTTCAAGGCTCGATTTAGAGGCTTTTAGGTTAGAATTTGGCGAAATAGACTTCGAATTTAGATTCAAGATATCGAAAAACATAGAATTTGTTTTTTCGAAATAAGTCAACTTTTTGATCAAAATCAAAGATTAATGCTGGTTAACGTCAAAGTCAACGGTCTAGTCAAAGTCAACGGTTCAAGGTTTAATAGTTTTGTTCTTCCATCTCTGTTGGATCAATCAGTTTAGATAGAACTGATTTTGACCAGTTTAGGCCGATTCAGTCTGACCAGACCAATTCTAGAAGATCCAAGGACTGGCCAAGAAGACCCACACATAGGGGCAGCATGTGGCGACGCGTGCGGCTGCCAACATGACGACCAAGATCATATGATTGCTCGAGAAACACTTATAAACCATATACAACTTAATATCTAGCAAAAACATGGTGAAATAACAGAAAAAATGATCAGAATCTTACCTGAGCAGTGGAAAACAGAGGCACAATGACGGGTTTTCGAAGGTCATGAGGAGATTGTAGTTGTCCTAGTGGTGACGGTGCACGCCGCGGCTGGCCGGAGAAGGCTGAACAATGAGGGTAACAACAAGTCGAAAGAGATGGGTTTCTGAAGCGTTGGTTCGAACAAAAGGGCCAATATGTGTTTTGGTTGTATTAAATTAGCTGGAGGTTTGTTTTATTTGCTTTATGAATATATTTTTAACATAACCCATCATCCACAATGACCTAGTCTAAATGCCAAGGCTTTGAGTGAAGCTATTAGAGGAGATGGGTTTAATTTGTTTGAACCACAAAAATTTTCATCCTTCAATTTATTTTCTAAAAGCTCCAATGATGGGAAAATTCTGGATCGAGACATTGAACTAAAAGGAAGCTTTCTATTGAGTCAATCGATCAAGGAAAATGGCCAAGAGGGGTGAAATGGCAAATTAAAAAATTGTTGGAAGCTTTTTAAAGAAGAAATTGACACAAGGATTTTAGAGTGGTACAACTTTCTTAATGAAGTTTACATCCCCTACCTTAACTTCCCAACTAAGGATTTCAACAAATTCACTAGTTTGTTCTAACCTTTTAGGACAAGGTGTAACCTTACACAACACTAAGACTTATACCCCCAAAGTCTTAAGCGTTCAACTATTCCCAATAAATAAATACAAATGAGCAAACTTTGAATATTCTTACAAAGATAGAATGTTTACAAATTGAAGCTCTCACACACACCTAAGAATACTAGAATGAAAAATACAATGAATGAAATAATGTTTTATGCAAGAAAGACACAACGGGAATACAAATTTGGCTCTACTTGCTCTTTGATTGTTGGGATATCTTTATTGTATTTTCTTGGTTGTTTGAAGTCACCTTTTATATGTCCTCACTGATTTCTAGCAGTTTGTGGTTGCTGGAGGGAGTTTAGAGCTGTTTGAAGCATTAATTTCACACATTGAATGCAAACTTGCACATAAGTTTTGGAACCACCTAAGGGGGTTTCTAAACCCTCATTTAAAAATTTTGACCATTGAACATGGGGGTTTCAAAACCTATGAGGGGGTTTCAAAACCTATAGGCCAATTTTGGTAACTACCACAGGGGTTTCGAAACCAGGCTAAAAAAACCTTTAAAAATTAGTATTATTTCATATTGTAAAAGTGTTTTAAGACTTTTTTAAAAATTAATTTTTTTAATTTTTTAACATTATTTTTTATAAATTTGAAAAATTCTTGAATTGAATAAAATATTAATTTTAAAAAATTGTCAATTTAATCCTTTGCTATATCAAAATCATTTATTTACATTTATCACTCTCCCTCTTTTTGATATAACAAAACCATTTTGTAAAAAATTGTCAAAAATAAACTTGGAAGACGTCAAAGTTATTTTCAAGTGAGATATTTCATTTTTCCCTTTAAAAAAGAATTTAAGAGTATATGATTAAAAGCATGGAAAAATTAAATTTTTAATAGAATAAATTTTGACTAGAATTTCTCCCTTTTTTTGTTAGATCAAAATCATTTAGCTATAAGAAAGAAGTCAACATTAAAGCATAATGATGAATAATCTTAAAAGATCAAATAATAAAAAAATGATCAAGGCAATATATTAAAAAATATCCAAATGAACTATGCAAATATCCAACAAAATATGCAAATAGTATCAAAGAAGTAAAATATCCATCATAAAGTATCAAAACATCTTAAAAGTCCAATAAACTATGCAATGATCGATCCTCAATATCTGGATGAGAAGAGGAAGATGGACACGAAGAAGGAAATGAGCCCGAAAAGCAAGCCTCCAAAGCATTAATGCGAGCTCTCATAGAATCAAAGTGACTATCGACATAATGAAGAACCTCATCAAAATGAGTGGTCATGTAGTCATAAAGGGAATCTAAGGTGACAGAAGGATGGGTGCATCATCGTAATGAGCAATGATATCATCAACTAGAGTAACGCCATTACGAAATTTGACCCAATTTCCATTTTCAAATTTAAATCCCATTTTCTTAACCGAGGTAAAATCAAGCTTTCTTGAAAGGGAAACGAGATGATCAAAAGTGGTATCAATGGAATGAGTACGAAAAATGTGACTCAAGACGCAAGCATAAGGAAATGAAATAGAAGAGGTTGGTCCTTTGGATATGGTATTCACCAAGTCAAGGAAAATTATTTGTGCAAGGTTCAAACATACCTTGGTACGAAAATGATAAAGCCACCAATAGTGTAAGAAGCATATACGGGTGATCTGACCACCCGATGGATGAAGGAACCAAGTGATAAAGAGCTGTAAAAGACGTTCCTTAAAAGAAAGAAAAGTGGGATTATCGTTACGAATATCTTCGAAGGGGATACTATTATTTTCATTAGTAAGGCCATCAAAAGGAATTCCTAAATACCTAGTGGTAGATTTGGGAGTAATGTCAAGCTCGACACCCATAAGAAAAGATAAAATTGCATAAATCTTATCGGAAGGAATTTCCTTACAAAATTGGGCATTGTAGAAAAATCCTCGAACAAGTTGAGGTGAATCGATTCTGTAATGGAGATAAAATGAATCTAATCCCAATTAAGAAGGGTTCCATAAAAACTCAATTCGTATTCAATCGAGCTAAGAAAATTGAAATTAAAATTACGTTTGAGACGAAAAGGACGAGTAATAAAGTGGTCGAGATAACGAGAAAGAGATTTGGAATTAGGAAATCATAAGCTTTCACAAGTCAGAGTATTGGAAGCTTGATCGGTTCTAGCATGTGTCGTCGGAAGTTTAGGTTCCATTCAAAGAGATAAAAAAACAAATGTTTTAAAAGAAATTTTCGTTGGGGAATTTCTACGAAAACTTAGTGGGCCAGAAGGAATTTTGTTTTTAAAGAAAATGGATGAATGGGTAAACCTACTGAATAAAAAATATGTATATGTAACTATAGTAATCAATCTAATCTTAACATTTGTAATCCATACTTACACAAAAATAAAGAAATTTGAAAACCCTAACTAAGGAAAGCTTTAGGTTTTATAGAGATTTACCAATAAGAGAATAAATGAGAAGCAAAAGGGAATAATGGGTGATGACCAGAGTGAAGACTGCGACCGAAGGATGGAGTCAGAAAAACCCGACAGTGGTTAGACGATTTATTGTGAAGGATTTTGGTAAAGTTTGAACGGTGGGAAGAAAATAGAGGAAAATATGGGGTTTGAGGATTTAAAGTATAAAACCTTTAAAGTTTTAATTGGGTTTTGAAATATTTTATAGGGGGTTTTGAAACCGTTAGCCTGAGATAGCATACTGCTCGAAGGTTTTCGAAACCTTTGATGAGAGTTTTGAAACCTTAAACCCAAAAAGCATTTTGCCTTATTTTTTTCGAAACCTCAAGGAGAGGGTTTTGAAACCTCAAGGAGAGGGTTTTGAAACCTTAAGGAGAGGGTTTTGAAACATCTTCTCATAAAGACTAAAAATGACCAATTTTGATCATGTATTTATCCAGGATAAGATTATATCATCCATGATTATTATAAGGACTTTAGAATCATGCTAAGATGTGATTAATGATGTATGAAAAGAATTTAAGAGGACTTTCTAATGATATTATTATGAAAAATTTATTTTGGCATACTTAGTCAATTTTGAGATGTCCAAAATTTGTCCAAAGATCGTGAAATGACATGCA